TCGACTTCGTGCGCCGAAACTTTCTCAGCTTCCCGATGATTTCCATCATATATATATATTATATACATAATATATTTAATACATTTCGCACGCAAATATAGTATAAACGATTTAGCATTGAAATGCCGAGTTTCTGATATAATATAATATTATAARTATATTATACTGCTCTGCCATTAGTTCTATCGCGATTTATTCTGTCGTCACTCGTCGTTTATGTGATTCGTATAGGTACACGTCTTACGTATGCAAGATAACGAGTGTAGAGACGTATTATGTCAAATTCACGATTTGAACCCGTTTACAGACACCGGCAAGGGACGGAAACAAAAATCGCGTTATTATATAATATTATWATATTCAAAAAGCGATTAACCGTTGAACGTCATCGACGTCGTAAACCACCCGAACAAAACTATATATATAATACTACAATATTATATTACACCCGCCGATATAATAATAATATAATAGCAAGTCCGAATCAGGAAAATATTATAATATTATATGTGCACCGGAGCTAGTATACCCATATGTATAATAATATGTGCACGTGTGTTAAAAAGTCGACGCCCGTAAGTAGGTTACTACGGCCCCGAGCGATTCGTGTATCAGTGGTGTGCGTGTATAATAAATGTTTCCAAGTATCTCATACAGTATAAATATATATATATATGTGTGTGTGTGTGTGTGTGTGTATCTCGATATGTACTGGATATGTTTCGACATAAGAACTAACGAAATAAAATAAAAAATTACTTATCTGCTGCTGTAGTTACCTGTAGATCACTGCACTGCAGAGTACTCACGTATTATTATTATTATAAATTATAATACATTACATCGGCTGGCTATAAAATAGCTATAGCAGACTGCGCTTATAAAAACGTACTTATATTATACTGCAATTAACCTAGTCCTATACTATTACTACCCCGTACACAGAGGTATGCGTAATATTATACTATTACTATTATTATTATTATTATTATTATGACGATGATAAATATTTTACTAAACGCGTTCAATCGGTTTTTTTTTCTGCTAAGGAATAATATCGAATTATAGTTTTACAACAGCAAACGATATCGAACAACAATTTTACATAGATCTGCACACGAACGGGCCGGTCGTATAAACGTTGCTTACTATACACAAAAATTAAACTTCAGAGCAACAATTATACCTATAATGTATTTTAGTTAGTGTTTAGTTATTATTATTAATTATGATCGACGTATCGAATTTCGGTTTTGTACATCATATATCACCTATATTGTAAGAGTTCATAAGCATGAGTGTGTGACCTGGTAGCAGAAAATGTTGTACAAGGCACAACTGAAAGACGTGCGGACAGAATGTAATATGCATTGCGCTGTTTCGTTCATTATAATTTTTCTCTTTTTTTTTTATCAGTATTTTTATTTTATTTTAAATAGTTTTTTTTTTATTACTTTGTCTTACGAAAACATATGGTACAATATTTTTTTTTCTTATAAATCTTGTGAATAAATTGTTGGTCGATTAAATTTCACCGCTAATAATCTTAAAATAATATTGTGCCAGATACATTTATTTAACGAGTTGTCTAAAAAAAAAAATTGGATACCCGGAAATTCCGCTATAATTTCTGTCGGATCCTTACCGGGCAGCCGGCCGGCTTTGTGGACGAAGCGTTTCACCTGTGATTATGATGATGAGCTTTGGGCCATATATACCTACGTACCATATTATTGTTGTACGTGAACGACCTATACTATATGGCTGCGTATGGGTCGCGAGTGCCGCCGACCAGTAATTAGTTTTATACCTATAATAATGATTTTAAGAAATTATGGTTTATGACGTCATGACATCTCATAAATTTAATATATTGTGTATGTAAAATACAATTACATTGTACCGACCACTATTAAGAAATAAGAAAAGTAAAATAATTTTATGGACCACTGCTGACGGGTGTATGACATCCGGATGCGTACTGCGTAGTTATAACTCCTTGAAATTTACATTTTGCTTCTCACTGCCCACTCGACACCACTAAAATTATACCGATATTATATACACCACCATCCCATCACGTTGTGTAAGTAGGATTTATAATATAAGTGCGTTTAAACTTAAATAATTCTGAGAGATACTAAATTATAMATTATATTGTATACATAATAATAATAATAATATGAAAATATAAATACCTACTTGATCAATTTTTTAAATATATCGATGAAATATTATAACGTATAACTATCTCCTGACCTCCTCTACATATATAGGTACATGCATTAATAATACATACTGTATTAATTTCTCCTAAATTATGCGGGCCATCGGCCTCCCTTGACTCAGCCACCGTGGTTAGGCTATGCTTACTTTTTATAACAACTGCTCTGACGCTCTGTATATAATTATGTATTGTGTATGATAATATGTCCGATAGTATGAATATATGTACATATAAACTTTTATACAATTACCGGTTTATGATTTTACCTATATATAATAAACATGATTTATTTTTAATTGGAGTATTTCGTTAAAAAAAAAAAAACTTAGTACATATGCGTGTTATGGTTAATCAAGCGCATATACCTAATAATAATTCATTAATGATGTTCAAAACTACAAACATTTATCAAGCAATAACTGTAGAAAATGTTGATTTCATACAAAACGCCCGCGATCACTAGTAATAACAATAATAAACTATTATTTAAACTGCTTTATCGACTTTCCCAAAAAATACATCACCTATACGTATAGTAGGTATATTTTTTATACATTGTGTCCAGTTCACAACAKATGTAATTAACTGTTTATTCGAAAATTATTATCGTATTCCAGATCTACTATACAAGAATTGACGAAATATTATACGATTCGCCCAAGTACCTATATCTCTTGGCACCAAATCAGTTTTCACCTATACATTCAAATTTCGTAAAACCTATAATGGTTCATTAATTCTCGATATACGTATCATCCATTATATCTTCGTGAATTTTCGTTTATGACGTTACTCGTTATGCATTAATACGCGTTCTATTTTTGTTTTACGTCTCGAACACGCATAACGTCAACACACATTCAACCATATTCGTTTAATATAATATTAAAATATAACGACTTCAGACGTTATGTATTACACGTCATAATATTAGAATAAGTATATAACCGTAATATATTGGTATATAAAAATCGATGTTTGCGAGAAGAAAAAYAGACCTAAACTTAAACTCAAATTAGACGTCATGATGTATGTATGGAGAACCTTTATTGCGTGTAAAGCGATTTCGTTTAATCAAACGTTCGACTTGTATAATATACATGTTTATATCATAGTATAGGTATTCCTTGTAAAATCCACGTTCGTTACTGCCGTTTAATCTATACCATTTTCACCGTATTACTATACCGCTGGCGTGGATTCAGGGGGGGGGGCTATGGGTGCTCGGGCACCCCCTGTCATCTAGCCACCACAAAATAAATTTATATTATAAATTATGTAATTTGTTATTTTTCAAAATAAAAATAATAATAATAAAATCGGTGCTTTTAGTATCGCCGTCACATACGACAATAATAACTATTATTGTTAATTGTTTTCGAAGTACTTATACTCGTATGTAACGACACACGTCGACGGCGGAAAGCACAGATAAAAATTATTATTATGAAAAAAAAGTTAGCACTAATACATCAAATAGAAAATGGTAATATTTAAATAAATAGTAAGGTGTACCTAACAATTTTTTTTTTTTTTTTGAGCACCCCCTGTTAAACTTTTCTGGATCCGCGCCTTCTATACYGTGGATACCAGACGTATTATGTGAGGTGGCCGACTGAACCGCCAACCGTTGATTTATAATTTTACAATAATAATGTTATGATGTGTGCATTTTCTAGATTGAACTGTCACCGTCTCGTTCTGTGATTACAAACGACAGTCGTTCGCACGTCGGATCGGACACACGTGTTTCCGCGTTGAAAATGTGATTATTGGGTGCACGACCTGCAGGTGAAATACCGTTTGGACCTAATTTCGATTTCACAATATTATGGACGTAGCGTCCACCGATTATCTAAAGACTGCACTGTATTCGGGAGACAATGGCTCGGACACGGGTAACCGAGACAGCCTCCGACTAATGGAGCTTGGGCTCCACCTGGAGACCCTTCACGACGGATCGCATCGGCTTAACACGTCAGTGGACCATCTGTTGAACGACCCGTCTCTGTCAGGTGAGCATTTTTATGAAATTCGTAATTATACGCCGAATTAATATAAATCCGAGATCCTTCGATTTTACGTTTAAATGAGATAACATAGCATAACATGAAAGATCTTCAAGAGGCACTTGATATTATTACTGTTACTGTATACAGTAGTACAGTGCATTCTATCAAAGTGTAATATTATATTATAATGTACGTTTGATATTACTTAAATAATGCAATAAAATATTTTACCTATCAGCGTATAAAATATATGCACTTACCTAAATAATATTATGCATAAAAATGTCTTTATAAATTAAACTTATCTGGAAATATCATATTTATCTGTGTGCAGAGAGGAATAACAACGAATTCACATTCGCCAATAACAACAATAACAACAGCAACAAYAACAACAACAATAACAGTTTCGAGACGATCATTAGTGGTGACCACGGGTTCGACTTGGACTGCACACCCAGCTCGTTTAACGACAAATCTGACATTGTAGACCAATGGCGGACGTTAAACACGGACGGTGCCATCTACACGGTGGAGGTGGTGAACAACTCGGATGGTGGCGTCGGCGAACCATTGTGGTGCATGCCCGCACTCACCGAACACCACCAGGACACCAACGCAGTAAGCAACTTCGACGAAACGCTGTTGTCGATGAACGGGTCGGACTCCTCGGACCAGGTGGGCTCTGGCAGGTACATCAAACAGGAACCTTTGCGGGAGTACATCAAACAGGAACCGTTGACGGAGTACATCAAACAGGAACCGCTGCAAGAGTACATCAAACAGGAATCCGCTGAATATACGGGCGATGAGCTTCTCCGGAACGCGTTGCTGGGCAAAACCAATCATAACCACCACCAGAGGTAAAGCCACACGATATATTAATATATTATAATATAACATACCTACATATAGGTATACTTTTCGGAAAATATAATAATATATTTCATTTATTTATACGTATTAAGTATGCATATTATTGTTTCAAAGCACTAAAAACAAAATACTAACTAATAGTGACTAAATGCGAAAAAATACTTTAAAATTGCATTCATAATCAATCATTAAGAATTAGGTACATTAAAGCATTTTCGAATACTTTAGATATGAGTTAGCATAATTTTATCTAGTCCGTTTGTTGATTTTATCTATACTTAAGGCACGATGTAGATATCTTAAAATGTGTCAACGGTTGTTAGAAAAAATTTAAAACTTTTCAAAGGAAAAATCCATATTTTCTGTCGTCTCATCAAGAAAACATATATTTAAATTCATAAAGAAATAAATTATGTGAAACGAATTCAAAAGTTTTATTTCGATTATAAAATGTTCATAAAATTTAAAACAAAATAATAATAATATAACAATTCTCAGAGAAAAACGAATTAAAAAATGTTTAATTTAAACTGTACACTATATTCTGTTATCATGATGGTTTTATAAGACACATTTCTAAGTTATAATTTACTTTACAACTTGTAAAATAGTATTTGAGACCTAGAGTGTTGATGGTTGTTGATGATGATTTAACACTATAAACCAACGACAGCGCATTCTAATCGCATATCATTCGTTATTATACACACGGTATAATACGGAGAGGTTAAATTTAAATATTATTCAGTATTTGCTTGTTTAGTAGTGATGGTAGTATTAATAATTTTTAAGGTGTTTCTGTTGCTTTTTTTTCATACAATTAAACGCTGATTATTATGTAGTCACACATCGTGTACGCCTTTAGAAACTGTGACTTAACGATACTCTGTGATGCATGTGCGCAGGTACGGCGACAAGGACGTCAAGCCATCGGTGTCGACCGCATCGGACAGCCAAAACTCGTCGCCGGGACCGCAGTCGATGCAAGATGTCGCGTCGTATCCGTCGACGTCCACCGTGGATATGCAAGACGTGCTGGCGACGACCAGCACCTGCAGCAACGGCATAAACGGCAACACGATCGTCATGATCGACGACGACATGCCGTCAATGTCGCTGCTGGTGGCCGGCGACGGGGCCTCCGCGCAGAACGTTGATGATCTCCTCTTGCCAGACTTTGACTTCCAATACATCGATGGCCTGGACAGCGACATGTCTCAGTCGTTCCAGCAGTACTGCCCCACTAGTCAGGGGTTCGTGTCCTTCATCGCCGCCGAGGTAAATATCGTCAATTTTTCGTCCACCCCAATAAAATCTCCACCCGTTTACGCAACAACCATAACTAACGTAACACACACGCACATATAAATATGCGACCCAGACGACTTTAGGCTTGTCACCAAAATCGAATATTCCCAGACAGGCGTTTTTTGTTGCAGACATTTTTTTCGAATAATTTCGGCTACGGCTGATTTCTATCACTTAAATACTACATATTCTTAGTAATTTCTTAAATCGATGTTGTTGTTTTTTTCGTATGCATTTTTAAAACGTATAAAATACTTTCTAAACCTCATTTCATATTCCAAACGATCTGGTAACATTGATTAAATAAAAAAAAAAAGCTATAAAATTGTATTTATGCACAAAAAATATGCGAATCCAGTTTATTTCTATAAGAAGATCTTTAACCCCTGCGTTAATCGAATAATTTTTCACCGTGGAAACCGTCAATCCTTATCATCTAAATAATATACCAAACAAATATCAATCATATTTATTGCGTAATAATTATTAATTATTTTATTAATACATAATAGTTAGGTACGAGGTACAGTGTAAACTAACCTACCGTGTGTAGAACTGACATAATATTGTTTTAAACCAGTTGGCATTAAATGTTTTGCGAAATCATAAATGATCCTGCGGTGAGCTGGTTTTAAAATATATACTATAATATGTTCGTGTACATTGATAATGTGTGTACATGTAACAGTAACACTACTTACTTATATAGAGCCACCATATGGAGATTTAATCGCTGTACACTAATGCTTTATTATAATTGATTGTAAAATATTCGTAAAGTTATAGCTCGATTTGTTGAATTTATCATACGCCATTATTGTCGGCCAAATGAGCAATTATTATCAGAAAGAAAATATTATCGTAGAGAATTAAAATAAGTGTAGGTACAATATTTATTCATGCCATTGTAATTTTTCACGTTTTCTATTCTATAGAGAAAGAGACAAAATAGGTACTATAACATAAGTACCTACATATAAACTGAAGTTTAAAGTAAAGCCGAAGTGCCACATGAAAACAATAATGTAGATATGATCTATGAACAATAGTAGATTATAATTAAATATAATATATTATACAAATAATCTTCGATACACTCGAGAAGAGTGATGACATTATAGAACGTTAACGCCACTCAAATGTGATCTAAGATTTGACACTTTAGTTCATTGGTGTACATTATTGTCATTACGATATCATTTTCGTCTGCCGATTACTCAGGAATTAAAAAAGTTGATAACTGTTATAACATTATAATAACCACACACAAATTATACTTATACCTTGCAGGGTCCACACATAACTCACACGCTCTGGTCGATCATTGTCACCACCTGGATTTTGAATTTAACGATATAAGTTTTTGATGATTTTTTTCTGAGTTTTAAATAATTGAGATATACAAATTGAATTTAACATATATTATTATTCGAAATAAGAAAGTTTATCTTGCWTATTATCTATCTATTTGCATTATTTAAACAAAATACATTGTTGTTAATTGATTCAAAAGGATTTTCACCATGCATAAATGTTGAATAAATGCATGCATATAACTGTAATTTTTAATATTTTTATAGATATCTGGTGAAAACTGATGGATTTGGCATTAACACCAATGTATTATAATATTTTAATATAAAAAAGTTTATTTTTTATAAATTATTTCATCAAGTATTTTTTGTATGATTATTTATAATTTGTTTACTTTTTTCAAAATATACATTTTTGAATTTTACATATATTTCGTATTGACCGTGATAATAATAAATGGAAATTTATTTAAATTCAAATTTTTGGTAGATACATATATTATGTGCTTGTATATATCTCACGGTTGTTTCTTGTGCCTTAAATTAACGGTGCTTGTATTCATCTCATGGTTGTTTGTTGTGCCTTAAATTTACAGCCCCAGTAGTCATCATCGTCGACTATATTATTATAAGATATTTAGTATAGTTTGTGATGATGACAATAATAAATAATAATATGCTGTTATTATATTTGGTTTTTGTAACGCAGGTGGCGAACATATCGCAAATCCCGTCCACGGTGGTGCTGGACCACCGAGAACTGGAACAGGTGTCCACGTCGTCGTCATCGTCGCCACCAGTTCGGCCGGCCAAGAAGTACAACCGTCGTTCACACCACGCCAACGGCAAGACGAAACAGTCGGCTGGCGGTGGCCCTGGGACGTCGATTGCAGGTTCGGGTGGTGGTGTGGGTGGCGGCAGTGGATCAGCTTCGGCGTCGAGTGACGACCAGCCAGCCGGACAACCACCCGCCAAGAAAGAACGGTCGCTGCACCACTGTCACATATGCAGCAAAGGCTTCAAGGACAAGTACTCGGTGAACGTTCACATACGCACCCACACCGGCGAAAAGCCATTCATGTGCACCGTGTGTGGCAAGAGCTTCCGGCAAAAGGCTCACCTGGCCAAGCACCAACACACACACACCACGCCTGCCAAACCAGCGCAATCGCTGTCGTCCGTTTTGCAATCCGTCAAAGGCAGCAGCGGAGGCGGCGGTAGGAGGTCCACATCCAGATAGCCCAGACCGCAGGCTGCAGTCATGCCGACTATCACCACCGAGTCACCATCCTTACCATCGCCACCACTAAACTCACCATCGACATTACCACCATCTACCACCAATCATACCAATACCAACGTCCAAACCACCTCCACCATTGACCTCTGACCTATATTTCCTACGGCAGCCCGGAAACGCGTCTAAAACGAATAAAAAAACGGGACGCATTCCTCATCCGCGTTGTTTGTAGTTAAACATCCGTTTTGTGTGCATCGCACGCAAAATAATATTTATTATTATAATAATAATACGTTTATTATTATTTTTATTATACGTTTTTAAGGCGATCATTGCATGTGTGTGTGTGTGTACTGTAGATCACTACACGCTAAACACACGCGTGCTTTGTTACGACGACTCGGCCAATCTTTTTCTCTACCCGGAGAAATCGTTTCTAATGTGATGATTAATAAGTTAACCTCATTAAAGAATATTAATGTAATAATAATCGCTTTACGAATCAAAATATTCAAAAGTATTGTTTTTTTTACGTGTAACTTTTTTTTAAAATAATTTTTAAGTTTATATACGCTGTGTAGATGATATAATTTTTTTCTACATTACAATAAGATTTACATTTTCTTAACGAATAATTATAAAACATAAATAAAAATAAATATATAGCATATTACGTATACAATCAATACATAGAGGTAGGTTTATAAATATTTGATTTATATTTAACAACAAAATATAATTCTCGTGTACTATTCCGTCCTGGGGCCTGTGATAGAAATGAACACATTGCAGTTACAATAATGTTGCGAAACGATATTGATGTAATATTATTTAGTCACGTTTTTTGTGTATTATAAAATATATATATATATCATAATATTATTATTATTATTATTATTTTGTTGTTATAAAAATGTTTAGTTTTTATGTTGTATTCGTTTTAATATGCGTGTTATAGGTGTTCCTAGTAAAGATTACCTTGACACCGGACTTAAATTATTAAGATATCATATTATTAATAATGTATTAAACATGCGTATGTACGAAAGCAAAATACAGTTTAAAATAAACCTAGGTAATTTATTCGTGTTGCTTAATTTTTTTAAGAATTTTAGGCCTATAAAACTTAAATTGAATTAAACAAATTAGAAACATAAGTATTATTTAGATAGCCAAAATGTTTTTTTCTTATTTTTTTTATTATTATTATAATTAATATTTTATTTTTATTATTAATATTATTATTTAAAACCCGTAGTAATATATTTTGTACTAAAGTAATATTATTGTTATTTTTAATTCCATACGATGACGATGAAGTTTTTCTTATATATTATTTGAATACTTGCCAAATAGCAATAGGAACAATTTAAATTTTATAATAATATCTTTTTTCTTGTGCCATACACAATAATAATCATGACATAATAGTAAATAGTAAAATGTTCTTATACATGACAATTTTAACTACTACGCGTTTACGGTATTATAAATAAGAACTTCGTTTTAAATTTACATTTTTTCAACTGAAAATGTATACAAATATGAAATATATATTTTATTTTTATTACAAATTTAAATTTTTATATTCATACATTATATTATGAATCTCAATTTATTAATTAATACTTATATACGTCATTCCTGCAATAATTTTGACTGTGATTTATAAAATGAATTATCTTTATATATTTTCTCATTATATTTAAAATAGTAAAATTCCATTATTTTATTTTATAATATATAACTTAAGAGAAATTTTTTTATACATACATACGGTTTTATTTTGAACAATAATTATTATTGTCATCGTACATGTAGGCCAATTGTATGTTATTTTCATGTATAACAACTCAGTATTTTTGTAAGTTTTTTTTTGTTCGTATCTGTTTTGTAAAATTAATGAAAATTATTTATTCCTAATGAATTGTACATTTATAATAATTTATATATATTATTATATAAATACATATATATATTTATGTATATTATATATTCCATGTTATAATGTGTGTAAATACAATATACATATTATGTACTATGTAAATATATATATATACATTTTATATTTTCATATCAGCTTGTTATTTTTTCTTAAATCTTTAATCCCATTTTTTCTAAATATTATGTTTATATATAAAATGTAATTTATCATCATTTTCACAAAACAATATCGATTTTATATTTGCCTTATTAAAAGAAACATCAAATCATTATAAACGATTATCATATTATTATTGTTAGTCATAATAAATTGAAGAATAAAAACATTTTAGTAAAGTAATATTCACATTCTAATATGAATATAAGTCAAATTATTTTGGATTAATTCAATTCGTCCAAAATTAGCTAATAATTGTTTACTTATCTAATTATTCAATTAGTTACATAATTTGGATTAAACACCAATTTTGTAACGACGAACACTGACCTACCTAGATGTTATTATAATAGTTACCAAGTATTTACCTATCAGCATTTTATTTTCCACGATTTAAAAAAAACTTAGCTGCACAAAAGTTAATTAGTTAAAAATCATTATCCAGGTTTATTTTCGAAAACAATTTCAATCAAAAAAAAAAGTACATGTATATGTACAGTTTGCTAGATATTTTACACACTATAATTTACTGTAGTACATGCATTTTCCATTGGGATCAATAAATACTGAGATATGAAAATTTGTAATAAATATAATTTTTTTTTATTAATTCTTCAAGAAGATTATTGGGCCCAACTGAACATGTTTGTGTAGAGACCCATTAGTTCACAATTTAAAATATTAATTCATTAGATATTTAATATAAATGTAATAATTACAATTATTTGGGATTCGCATTTATCACACAACTTAAATATCAATATATGAATATAATATATATTATATAGGTATATATTTTTTCCTTTTCTTTGTTAACATAATATAATTATATAATGTAGTATTATGTAAAAATCGCGTAGTTAAAGGATAGGTACAATACATGACCATAAAAATAAAAATAATTAATAATTTCTAAAATCATCTAACTAATACAATACCTAAAAAATAAATAATCCAATACATTATGACATTCATATTCATTATGAGTATGTCTATGTTTTGTTCTTGCGATACCCAATGTATGCCATTGCATAATAAATTGCAATTTTTGCTTGGTATTTTATTTTATATAAATTATTACACAGTAAAGTTTGTTCACAATAAGATTTTTTAATTTCTTTAAATCTTAAAGCTAAATAAACTGAAAAATAATATTTTATATGAATCTTAAAGTTTATTTTTTAAATATTATTTTAATTTATACGTTTATTAAGAATGCTATCGCATATAATATAATGTTAAAGTAAGAACAATTATTGTTATCACTTCATTATCATCAATATCAATACAATAAATGTTGTGATACGTACTTAAAACCGTAAGTATCAACAAAAATGTTATTATTAAATTAACATCTTGAAATTATTGTTATTAAATTTTCACTATCCGATTGTATCGAAATTGCCTATATATGCCCCTTAAAATCGTAAAAGTATAAAATATAATGGTACAATAATATTCCTGTATCATATAATAATAGGTACCTACATATGATTAATTGATGATTATTGATTATCAAATGATTTAATTTGTAATTTAAGTATAATATTATCAATTAATATGCAAGCTTGTGTATAAACAATGGTACATCATTCCATATACTTGTTTATTTACAATAAAAATATATTTAGGATGTACCTATAGTAATTTTATATGACATATATATATAAATATACATATATATTASAGCTCAGTATAGACTCAAAATAATATTTAAATATCTAATAATAAATCAAATTAATGTGTCAGGTTTAGACAATTCATTTAAAAGTTTTAATAAGCAGCTAATACACGCATCTCGTTCTTGTCAAGTTCTCAATTTAATGATTTATAGGTGTACAATAAAATTAAAGTACCTATGTACTTAATAAATTTACATCTACGATTAAATGGCAATAAAATATACTTCACGCAAATATGTCTAACGGTTCACATTTTTTAAATTAGATTAAAATAACAGATTTTATATGTAATTAAAATATAAAGTTATAGGATAATTCTTATGAATTTAATCTATTTATCTGTAAAATCTATGAAAAAATACATGTATAATTATGATTATGTTGAATATAGTTGATAATCATTGATATTTTGAAACTTGAACAAAAACTTCAAGTGTAGTAAAAATTAAAAAATTGTAATCTAGAATAACCATTGGATTTAATACTATATTATTTCAAGTGTTTTTATTTGATGACGTCAAATATCGGTGCAATACAGCCTAAATATAATGCTCGTATAGTATTTAACATATATTATATATATTATTAATGTTTAACCATTATGTATAGCTAGGTACACGACATTGATGGAAAAATAATTCAAAATAAAAAACGGAAAGGAAAAGAACCATGTAACAGTATAATGTGTTGGTGTTGAGATGCAGACATCCCACAGGGAACGGACCGGAGAATTTTTATTGGCTTTAATTAAACTTAATTGATTTCAATTGAAAAATGCGCCGGCGACCCCGTCGTATACAACTTGGTGATGCGATACTGTGCGGGTATTTTTTTTATTTTTTTTTGTTGTTATTATTATTATTTTTTAGAGGAAAAATAATGCACTTTTTTGTTCGTCTAAGGAACTGAACTGTTAAATCTACCATCACGTTAACTCACAAAGAATTGAAATCGTCGTTTTCATTTGTGCGTGCGTGCTTTTTTTTACTTGACTGCTTGAGTGTCACAAATTATACGGATACGATTTAAAATACTGCAATTTACATTATGAGATGTTATGTTATACGATCATACTAATATGATATAAACTAAAAATATATACTTACTGCACATACAGTTTTATCTTTATATCGAGAAACATTATTACTTTACAACAGTGTTATATGCGGCACATTTAACATTTTTATTGCTATTTTAATGACCATAATGTAATGTTGTAAAAATATATATATGCGTATGTATAATGCCAATTAGTTAAAATGTACGTTTGGATATTTAGACTAAATTGATTTTTACCGTAGGTATATAATATGTTTCTTTTTTTATTTTATTTGATTATTAAGCAAGTGAAAAATCATTATAATATATTTATAAGTATTCCATCAGAGCGTTGTGACTACTTATTAATTATATTTTAGACGAATTTCAATCTTTTCAGCCGAATATTCTTATTAACCAAACATGGTCACAGCATTTTATGATTGTTTTGTTTTTTTTTTAGAAATTTAAATGATTGATTTCATTGTTTACAACACGCGTAAACTCTTTGATGCTGAAGCAGATATTCGTAGAATAGATGTAAAAATCTATATTTATATTAATTTCTAATTATTTAAATGATAATATATTATGTAACAATTGAATCGTAGAAATAAAATAATCATCCCATATCAGTTATGTTCATAAATAAAAATTGCTGCTAGTTTGTGATTACAAAAGATCATAGTAATAAATATATTATTAACAACATTTATTTTTTGATAGTTAACMTAATGTATGTTTTTGAATTTTGATTTTAAAGTTTAGTCTTTATTACTCGAATTCAGGAGTGGTTCTAGAACTCAAATGTTGTGAGGGCCTAAATATTAAAAAATATATGTTATATTTATTTTATAAGTAAGCAATAGTCAGCATAGACTCACGAACCTAATGATATTTTTTGTCTCACAGTTCAAATATTAATACAAACAAAATAAAGATTTTCTTTATTCTTCTAAATAAAATATTCTTAATGTGCTTTATGTTGAATATATTTATATAATTTTAAAATATATTTTTGTAATAAATAATTAAAACTTTCTTTTATAATTGAAGTATTATATAAAAATAAATAAATTAATGAAACTAATAATTCTTTACTTCATCAAAACGACACGCTATTTAACTTCTTAAAAGGTAAACATATAACTATTTGGAACAGGAAACTACCCACCCTGCCCGTATGCATCGTTTTATTTAATTCCAAGATTAAAATAAAATATTATATAAACCAAGAAATGAGATAAATATTTTATGAGTTACCGCAACTGTATGATATATTCATGTAAAAAAACACTTTCAAATATACGTTCTAATATAAATACACAATTATATATTATAA